AATGACCTGCAGATTAACTGGGATTGTCAGACATAATATAAATTTAGTCCTGGTTGATGTAGAGAAGAGAGAAGGGGGCCTGGAGGTAAGGTGACCTGTTGAGTCATTGCAAATGAGAAATTATGAGGCTTGAATTAGGGGTGCAGCAGCCAGGGTGGTAAGGAGAGATGAATCTGAAAGATATTTAGGGTACAGGCAAATATACATGTGGAAGATGGACAGAAAGGAGTATGACTCAGTTGTGTGCTTAGGTGGTAAATGAATAATGCCATTACTGAAGGTGATGAATACATTATGAGGAATAGGCTTGAATGAGAACACTGCAGAGTGTTCAGGAAGTAAGGGGCCAGGGCAGACAGGAATGTCTAATTACACTGGATTGGCTCACCTAGGCATCGCTCCTCACCAGGCTTTTGGAAAATGCATCTGCAGTTTATAAAGGAGAAGACTAGAAAAATCAATCTATGAATCATCATCGTGTCAATGTTGTTGTTGTTATGTGCTGTCGAGTCAGACCCAACTCATAGTGACCCCTCCTTGGGTTTCTGAGGCAGTATCACTATGGAAGTAGATTGCCCAACCTTCCTTCTGAGGAGTGGCTGGTGGGTTTGAACCGCCAGCCTTCTGGTTAGCACTATGCTATCAGAGGCACTACGCTACCAGAGCTCCCATCGTGCAGATATTAGTTGGAACTATGAGGATGGGTGAGATAAGAGCTGACAACGAAATCCTTGCTGCTTTACAACATTGTTTAAGGAGAAAGTCAAATTATGGTGCATTCACTCAATGGACTTTCCCACACTTATTAAATATGATCAAATGAAGACTATGAGGTAATATGGAAAACTCTTTGACATGTTAATTTGAAAAGATCATAGTGTACATATACAATAATGTGGATGAATCTCAAAAGCATTAAGCAGTGTGAAAGAAGTCAAACACAAAAAAAGAACCTAACGTATATTTCTATTTATATAAAATTCTAGAAAAGACAAAACTAACCTATGGTAATAAAAATCAGGTCAGTGTTGCTTCTGGGCAATTGAGAGCCGATGGGGGAGAGGCCTGAGGGAATTTTCTGAGGCAAAAGGAATGCTCTAAGATTTGATAAAGGTATAGGTTTTATGAGTGTATGCATTTGTCAAAACTGGTGGAATGATAAGCATGACATTGTATGTAAAATTATACCTTAGTAAAATGGAGTATAAACTGTATAAAGCAAACCAAACCAAACTCATTGCCGACGAGTCGGATCCAACTCATAGTGACCCCTCCTTGGGTTTCCGAGGCAGTATCACTACAGAAGTACATTGCCCAATCTTCCTTCCAAGGAGTAGCTGGTAGGTTTGAACCACCAGCCTTCTGATTAGCAGTCAAGTGCTTTAGGCATTATACCACCAGAGCTCCTGTAAACTGTACACAGTCATATACACAAAGATAAGGGTATATGCAAATATAAAAGTTGTATCAAGGCAGTGGAACTACGGGCTATTTCTTCCTACTTCAAAGTGCTTTAATTTTATACATTGTTCTTAAATAAAGAGGAATTTTAGAACTTCAAATGCCCATAAATATTTATTTACATACAAAAATGCAAAGTATTTTATAACACTTATTTTTCCCTATGGGAAGCAGGAAAGGGTCTTCAATTAAGAAGTTTAGTATCTGAAACCAACAGGAAAACCCAACACATAATAAATATATCAATATAAAGTATCAAGGAGTCACTGGGGTGACAAGAACCTCATGGTTTTGTTCTAAGGAGTTTGAGAAAAGGGATTTTTGATGAGTTTTTACAGAAGAAAATGGAAAGTCATTGCAGGAAGGGGTACGTGGCTTAGATGTGGAATGATATGGGTTGTATTTGAAGTAGGTTGGTTTATCTCAGTGGTGGAGGACACATGTCAGGTATCAAGTAAGGTCAGTTATTGGGGGGGGGGACTTGAGGTGAACTGGATTCTGAAGGTCAGAAAGGTAGACTCAACTCGGGTTTTAGTGCTCCTAAGTTTAGGAATTGCCCTTTATTTTATGAGGGTCTCATTAATTAGGGAAAACTGTCCTAATTTTTATGGAGAAAAGTAGTTACCCAGTGAGAGAGTGGCATCAATGAACCCTCATTTTTTGTAAAAGGATGGTTGTTTTGATGACAGTGATTGTGTAACTCTTTCTGGAGTTGCCTGTGAGGGACCAGCAGTATGCCAGTTGCTTTGTATACAGTATATTCTACTAAGCTCCACCTTAACCCAGGAAAATATACATTAACTTCTTATCACCAATGAATAAATTATTTCCAAAGAAGGTAGGTAATTTTTAACTAGGAAACGATGAACAAAAAGCAAGATTATTGATTCCACACACTATACTGTTCTATTTTATCAGGAGAGAACTGATAACATCTTACTCCCATTTGAGTTTGAAGAGGAAAAAAAAAATCATCATGTTTAAAGGGATTTATAATAATATTTAGTCTAATTATTAGTCCTCCCTAGTATAGTCTACACCCTCACAAAACAGCAAACACAGTTAACTACTGCACAACTGTGAAACAGCACACACCTTAATACCTTTTATTTAACAGTAGTTAACACTTGGTGCTTACTATGGTTCAGGCACCGGGCTAGACCCTAAATATGCATTAACTCATGAATCTTCACGACCACCCTTTAGGTAGACAATTATTACTGCCATTTTACTGAGAATGAAACTAGAACACAAGAGATGTAAAATAACTTGTCCTAGGTCACCCAGCTACTTGAACTTGGATTGTTTAAGAACACACTCTCAATCACTTTGCTCTAATACCTCAGTTTCAAAACTGAATGTTAAACTTTCTTATGTAAATCTTTTTTTTTTCCATTTTAGCACATGCTAAAATATATTTTTCCTACACTATTTCATGGGAGCTCTGGTAGCATAGTGGCTAAAGCACTTGACTGCTAACCAGAAGGCTGGCGGTTCAAATCCACCAGCCACTCCTCGGAAGGAAGGTTGGGCAATCCTACTTCCGTAGTGATACTGCCTTGGAAACCCAAGGAGGGGTCGCTATGAGTCGGGGCCGACTCGACGGCACATAACAACAACAACAACACTATTTCATAATAACAACAGTTTAAAAGCTTCTCTTTTCTTCTTTCATAGAACTGAAACCCTTCCCAAGAAGGCTTACACTGTTACTTGAGTGATTCTACCTAATTCAATAGCAGGAAGGACACATTTGCTAAGAGGCTGCCCTTGGTGACTGCACAATAATAGACAGGTCAACCTTCACATCCTGACACTCAGACAGAAGCAGAAAAAGCACACCCGGGTACACTCTCCTTATCACGGACAGAAAGGTGGGAGTGGGTACAAACTGTTACGGCTATTTCCTGTCAGGCTCTGTGACTAACTGCAGGTGCTGAGTACCTGAGTCCCAATCTAAATCACCTAACTGTGCTGGCCACTGAAAGCTGCAAAGAGGATTCCCCATTCAACCAGAGTGAATGAGAACAGTGTTCTGTTCCAGTTTCTGCCTTGTCTTGGGAGAGGTTGAAACATGAACCATGAGGCAGGCTCATCTGTACCTCTACTTGGTCCCTAATGATACAAAAAGGCCTCTTTCCTGATCTTCTCAGTCTATATCCATTATATTATTTAAGGTCCATACAAAAGCAAATAAAGTTGGTCATTTGGGTAATGAAAAGGGCTATAATTAAGTAACAAGGCATAAAACCTTAGAAGTCTTGAGAGCTGGCTGCCTCTCAGCTGTGGTTTACTTGAACTGTTTCACCAGAACTCTCAAGGCTTTGGGGCCGTGACATTTCATCTGTTTAAAAATTACTTTTCAATAAAGGCTCATTCATTTATGTATGTAAAATAAGGACAGAAAAAAAAAAAAAAATGACTCATGTCTGGGCCTGATATTAAGAATTCAGAGGGTTAACCAGGCATTTGCCTTCCCACTGGGAGGTGAAAAAAAGGGAGGAAAAAGTGATATGGGCAGGAAGTGCTGACCCCATGTTCACTGCCCTTTGATCTTTGCCCTGGGAAAAACTGAGAAAGTTCATAGGCTGGCAATGCTTAAACTCTGGTTCTGTAAAAAGAAAAAATGGATAGTTTCTTTTAGAACTAGATGAACATAAGTTGCTTCTCTGCCTGTTACCTTTTCATTATTTATACACATACACATTCGTTTTAAGTGGAGATTGTGTATACAGAAAACTGCAAAGGCCAAAGAACTCAGCCTTGTATATAGACAACCCCAGACCTGGCTGAGCAGTAAGTTGATTCTCTGGGCTGAGGTGCTCAAGGCAGAAGGGGGACCCCCAAGGTGTTCAGTTCACTCTAACAAGATAGCTAAGATACAAAAGGTAGTACTGCTTCCTTTCCACCCCTGGCGATTCTTGGAGAAGAGACGAGAACTAAAACAGAGTGTAGGCCAGAAACAGCAGCACTGGGTTAGAGAAGGCCACAGACATGAGACACACATAATACCCAATGGAGCTGGCCTGTTATTCACCAACAGCCCCATCTAAATGGTAAGACTAGCATAGAGTGGGTCCCTAACAGGCTATCTCTAATGCGTTGCACCCTTTAAACTTTATGCTAGCTATTCATAAACTCCTCAAGGAAGTGAAATGTAACTACTGTGATCATAGAAGGAATGTTCCTGCTACACAGCAATATAAAAAGTGGTTCAGAAAAAATCTGAATGACATTATTTAGCAGGAATCTATACAACTCTAAAAATCATTCTGTTCCTCTCTTCAGAAAGAAATGTTTTGGTCATCAGAGATAGGCTTCCTGCAGAAGCTCTGCTAGGCTTAGTCAGACCAGTGCCAGGAATTCTGTGAACTTGAGGTCAAGCTGCCAAGATTTAAAAGAAATGTTCGTAAGTGTTTGCACAGATACCAGGGAGGGAGAGCTAACATCTGCCAGCACACAACTCCACGAAGCAGACAAGAAAAACAAATTTCCAATTTCCCCCTCCCATAAAATTTAATTAAAAAAAGGACTCTTACCTAGCTCTCCCCGGAGGTTAACAAGTTCTTGAGATAGGGTTTTGTGTTGTTTCAATGCTTCCTCCCGCTGTGGAAAACACACATCAGTTACTAATGTTTTCAAGAAAGTCCCTTGCAGTAAGGCACACATTTGTTATCACTAGGAAAACGAGACCCAGAATTGCCAAGATATGAATCATTTAGGCTCACAGTTTGTGTTGTAACAAAACACAGATGTCCTTATAGTTGTGAAGGAAATTAGTGTTTAAAAATCTGTATTTTCTCAGATCCTGATGAAACTTTCATTTGAGGCACTGAATGGTGCATTTCAAAACATTTAATGAGTCAATAGTTCATTGCTAACCCATAGAACTTTTCAGCTAGAGCATACTGTACTTTAGACATGATGCATTCTCCCTCTCCAAGGACAATAAAGGTGTTATCAATTTAAGATAAATATTTAAAGTTCCAACCATATGCTAATATGCACTTTGGCCTATAGTCACAAATAAAAAAGTTTTGTTACAAGACCAAGCCTCAATCTTTTACTTCTAAAAGAAGACATAAAGTTTGTTATAGAAGTACAAAGCAGGGAGGGGGCTGGGGGGGAGGACTCTTCACATAAAAAATTAAATAATTTTAAATCAGCTACATATTATTTTCTAAGAATTCACATGCTTTGTATCAGCTATAATTCAAAGTAGATGTTAGAAAAACAAATCAAGTAAAACCAGACATTGTTTCTGTATTAAAAATGCAGTTATCAACCTTGCAATAAAGAACAATTTTCAAGTTACCAGTGACACATAGAAACCAAGCACACACACACACACACACACACACACACTTTAACAATACAATAATTACATATAGTTCCTTAGAAGGTGGATTCTCTAGCACCAGGGCATAAGTAAGGAGAAGACAGACTTCTGAAGCTCTCTGGAAATGCCCTCCCTAGGATCACCCGCGATGGAGCTCCTGCTGCATCTTGATCACCGTGTTGCAGAGATCATGAGACCCAGCCTTTGCAGGCAAGGGTTGCTTGTCATTCAAAGCATTTCCCCCTAATTCCAAACAACCTCTGCCTGAGTCCTGACATCCTCGCAGAAAAGCACTATAAACAAATACTAATTACCCTTTTTGCTGCACATGGAGAATAGAGGCACATTTTGCTGCCGGAGCAGCCCATTTTCCAGCTTCTGTCTCCAACTCCCCACCCCCCCACACGCCACCAGAAGTGCACAGGTGGCCACACCACCCACCAGCCGCGTCTGTCTACATTCAAAGCTCTACCAGGAGGAGCGCCATTGGCCCTCGGTTAGCCTTACTTCACGTCCTGCAGGTTACTGTACGCCTCAGACTCCTCTCTCCCACAGAAGCTGATACTGCAGCTTCTGCCTTTGGCAGGAGCAGCCTGCAACCACTTAAAGCCACAGCCCTTCATTTATGAAAAATGAGAGCCAGACATCAGACTGATCGATTGCCACTTACTTAAGTATCAGCTGGTAGAGTGGAAGGAAAAAACTGGCCTTCCCTTCATGGATAGTAGAGTTATCTTTAGATTTGTGAGTTTTTTATTTCCCCTCTCTAACTGAGGTCATTAGAGGATCACTCTTACTAATAGAAAAGGGAAACTTGTTCTCCAAAACCTGTACACTAAATGAGGTTATGAACTAGGTGAAGAGCAATCAAAGTATGAATGTTCTCACTTAGAATTTAAATGATGTTGTAAAATGAGTGTTGTATCACTCAAAATTTAATTTGGATGTTTAGAACACTTTCTACTAGTGTTGGGGAAAAAAGGTTTGTAATGATGATTTGAGAGTTGAAGATTTTATAATAAATTTGACTTTTTAATATTTAATCACTCACTACAGAGCTAAGAAGTTAACACTGATCTCCTGAACTGTCAGATGGAAAGACTTTTTTATTGAGTACATTTTGGCCTTAATTGTTTCTAAATGCTTGATTTTTAAAATGCAGTATTAAGTTGGTCTGAAATCACAAATCAGTGAGTCCAAGTTTTAAAAATTCACAAGCAATTGATTTTCTTACATGGAAATGTTCAAGGAAAATCAACTTAGATAAAAATGGAAGTAAAATCAAATAAAACACATACATCTATATGTACTTACTTATCTTAATATCATAAATTTAAGCCTAATTTATGCTTGTTTAGTAATCTAGTTCAAGTAAGTCATCAGCAAGTTTTATCTTTCAGGTGACAGGAAAACCAGAAGATAGATTCACTAGATAGTCACAAGCAACACTGTAACACATTTAGTGAATCTGACTAAAATTCACCTTTCTAATAGTAGCCAAAGTGCTAATAAAAGAAAGAGCTGGCAAGAAAAATGAAGTCACTTTTCAAATTTATGGAAACTAAAAGGAAGATTGAAAAATTAAGCTAGTATAATTTCAAAGATAGTTTTGTGAAAATTGTCACATTCTATTACAAATATACACTATGCGATATTTCTGCTTATTAAACAGATTTTGGGGGCAAGGGATTTCAGTACCCACGTAGACATTTCCCCAACTCCACTGCACTCAACTTTCCTGTCTTCATTGCCTTGGAAGCCATGAAACATTGTTTAACCTCTGTCAATCACACCTTCTAACCAGAAAACCTTGAAGTCATCTTTAACTTTGTCTAAATGGGTTCTGAAAAAGTCAGTTAGTTCTTGCTTCAGAATGAATCTTGAATCCATTGCACTTTTTCTATTAGTGCTACCTCCCCACTAGTCCTGATCTTTACCAACCCATTCCCAGACACCCCTCCACACCACCTGACAGAAGAGTGTTAGATTATTATTCCACATTCCTTGTGCACACACACACACAAAATGGAGTCCCTGGATGGTGCGAATGATTGGCATGCTTGCCCTATCAAAGGTTGCTGGTTTGAGTTCAATAACCAGAGGGTTCTGGTGATCTACTTCCAAAAAATCAGCTACTGAAACCCTAAGGAACTTATGGGGTCACAATGAGTTGGAAATGCCTTGATGCCAACTGATTTTTTTTAATACATTTAAACTCCCCTTTATCAAAAACAATCTCTCATTCAGTGCATAAAAAAATAAACTTCACCCTAGTTCTGTGGACCTTAATCATCTGGCTCCTTAGACTCCCAACGTACTCCCCGCTCATCCAAGTCACACCTGTCATGTATGTCGCATCTTCACAATCTTGTCAATGCCACCCTTTCTGGAATACTTGGTCATCTTTACCTGGTCCATTATATAAAACTTCTGGGAAGGCTAAACGTCAGTCTTATACTTCCCACCTCCCTCTTCCAAATACCATGAATGGACATTTATCCTCCTGAATTGGTTGGAAGTTATTACTCATAGTGATTGACCAAATATCATTCCAGATGCTGTGAAAAATAAAAAGAGATTTCAGACATAATCCTTGCCTTCAAAGGAGTTTGGGACCTAGGTAAACAAAAATCTCCAGGCCTATTTCTTTGACCATCTCCATCAGAGGAGCAGCAGCACAGGATGATGGAAAAACCAAAGGTGGACACTCTGGAGGGAAATGCTTCTTAACCACTTATTAGCTATATGACATGTGATTTAATTTCTTAGATTTCTCATCTACAGAGCAGGAATAATGTCTAACCCAAAGGAGTTTTGTGCATGTTAAATATAACCCTTTATGTGACCATAACGTACACACCATAAGAGATACATACTGTTAGTTCCTGCTCCACTCTTCCTGTAGCTTGCCTTCACATGTACTTACCCTTTACTTGTAGATGATAAAATGCATTTTGTTGCTAAGAAACTGATTTACTGTTTCTGTTTATTCAGCTGCTTCTATATCAGTATTTCTGTCTTAGATGTTAAACTTTATAGTCCAGATAAATTTAATTTTCTTCATATTGTAACACGCAAAATTCCACACAATGAGGGGGTAGGGAAGAGAGACAGAGAGAAAGTCAGGGAACACAGATAGAAAAAAGCTTTCATACTCATGCATTAAATAGATGAAGTGCTCCAAGAAAAAAAATATGGACTCACTATAATTTAATTAGTAGTCCCTAGGACACAGGCACTTAGTCTCTGGCTGTCATCCCATCAGCGTCCCTGCTATTGAACAGCATCAACATCACAGGGGATTATGCAGACAAGAATCACCTCACACAGCTCAGACGGGTGCTCTGTCTGACAGGTACTATGTTTAGCATCACCAGTGATACACAATGAATGTGCATAGTGTGGCCACTGTTTTTGATCTGAGACATTTTTACTTTTAGTAGATTGCTAGTGTCATTCAGAATTCACTTTTGTTTAGGAGCTACCGTAGGTTAGACTTCACTTGCAAAAAAAGATTTAGAGGCACTGTGAATTCAAGGCTGAGGTTTAGAGGAGTGACCTAGTCCTACTGAGGCTTACCTAGTAAGCCACCTTTTATGAAGAAACTGGGACTACTGCCATCAACACCATCATTCACATTAGCTGTCTGTGAAGGATACTGTACAAATATGCAAGGATAAACTAGGGATTAGACAAACTAACATTTTTAGTGTGTTCACTGACAACAGAAAGTGTGGCCTAAGTTTCCAGATTTAAGAGCCATTCACTAGAACTTCTGCTATGTAACCAAATATATCTGTCACTAAAGTGGGAAAGCTGTAATTCTTAGACTTGCAACAAAACTTGATAGTTCTAGGATTCACTATAAGCAATCATTTTTATGAAACAAGCTAAGTGTTCTGAAAACCACTTAGATATGGTTAGAAATAACAAAATACACACATATATAGCACTTTTACAATGAGTATGTGAGAAACAAAGGGTTAAGAGAATCTTCTTTTAATTTCTTAACTTTTCTCCTGCTTACGCTTTTCCCTTCCAACTATTTTATAACAGTACTCTTTACATATTTGGATATCAGTAAATATTTGCTGACTGACGAAAAAAAAAAAGAGCAAAGAACACTCAGGTATACACTGTGTGTCTACTATGTATAAAGCACTGTTTTAGGTGCTGGGTGTCTTCATAAGAAAGAACTAGAGTCAGGATCTTGCTCTCAATGAGCTTCCTGTCTTAAAAAACAAAACCAAGTGCTAAATAAACCAAA